ATGCTATAAACCTTAAATACCTAAAAAACTTTTAATGTTCATTTAGGAAGTTCTAGAAATCATGCAAATAGAACTTGAATACTGTAAGATGAAGAAAAGTATTTTTATACTTAAAACGAAAATCATCTTGCACTCAAACTATTCAAAGTCAGAGTGCAAATAGCTACAATAAACAGATAACATATTGTTACGACAGTGGAAGTCACACGACGCTGGAAGCATGCACGCTGGAGATTCTAGAAGAATCATGTCTGTTCGTGGCAACTCTAGTCTTCTCTACGCGCCCTCTATTCTTGTATATAAGTGTGCCAGACAATGAATCGGGACTGGAATTGCAGACAGAGAGATATAGAGACAGATAATCGAGCCAAGCCATAAGTAAAGTGTGTGAATCGTTGTGAATTCTAGCTTGTGTTTAAGTTAAAGTGACTGTGGAAATTAAGTGTATTGCAAAGTTGTATTGAGAAAGAATAAACTAGTTTTATCTAAGAAAGGACTTGTATCGCTGAAGTTCTTCAGAAATAATTTTTACGGAAAATTAACAAACAAACACAGATGTAACAATATTTTTAGTAGAAAGACTTAATTAAATAATGTCATTCTTTATGTACAAGATATGTATAACCTTTAACAAAATATTCCCAGTTTTTGTGAGGATATGTTAAGAAATCTCAGAGTTCCTATATTCACAAGTATCCTTCCTCAGTCAGCTCTCCTGCAAATTGCAGGAAACCTTTGCAAAAGGGTTAATGGAACCATTAAGTAATCAATTTGCAAATATCCCTAACTGTCTAGCTCTACCTGTGAATAAATTACTCTTTATTAATAGAAGAGCCTTAACATTATCAAAATGATCTACATCCACAGTAGGTAGATTATGTAACTCTTGTGAAGTTTCTTTCCAAAAATGAAACTAAAAGTATGTAGTTTTAGACCAAGTAGAATATTTTATTTTGAATTTTCTACCATTTTTCTTAAAAGTGCATTATTTAATGAAATTATTTGCACTTGGACTCTGAACAATTCATCTGCAAGGTGACTTTTCATGTTAAGTATAAAAAATAATATTTTTATATTACAATTTCTCATTTCATTTGCATAACCTCTAGAACTACATAAATGAATATCCAACTTATTTTAAAGTAAATGTTTATATTTTATTTTCTATTCTCTCTATCATATCACTAACTCTGGCTATTATTATCAAAATACAGTGCAATAAAATGTTTAAAAATTAAGAAATGGATATATATACATACCTTTTATCTCTTTGTTGAATAATCTTAAAATATCTTCTTTGGATCATAATAACAAGTCTTTACCTTTTGTCTTATAGTTTATTTTCCTTTCCTGTTCTATATGTTTGATTAGTTATGTTGACAGACATCAACAGGTGCCTGAGCAATATAACATTATCATCAGCAGAGACAGTTTAGTCTCCAGCAAAATATTTTGCACTCTCCTCATTAGGAAAGACTTGTTGAGTGAGGTGAAGCTTAGAATAATATAAAAAAATCATTAAACTTTTCAAATATGAATTTTAAAACACAAATATTACATAATTAACTAAAATATAAAAGTAAGACCTAAATACAATTTAAGTGTCTCTCTACTTATAACATATTTAGGTAAGAAACAACCATAAGTGTTACTGTGGATCAAGCAGCCAACAATACTATAGGCAGTTACATCTACCCAATGATGACAGCTGCACACCAATTTTAAAATAACCATTTGTGGATTATAGTGTAAAATGAACTCCTTCTAATGATTATAAACATGTATGTACATGTGATTTGTAAATCTCTAGGTTAAGTGTATGAGGTGGGTGTGGCACCCACCAAAGGTTGGCAAAATTTATTACTTGTTTCTACTGAATTCAGCCAAAGAACTTTGAAACTTATATGTCAGTAGGGCAAATAAACATACTTATTGTTTAGAGATACATCTACAGGAGAGGAGTTATCTGAAGATAGAGACTGCAAAAGTTGAGATTTTTCATAGCTTGTAGGTCATGTGACAAAAAGATTGAAATTTAAACTTAGATAATATAAACCTTCAAATTGTAACATACATTATAATGTTAATTTCATTGACGTACATGGTTAGTAAAGTTATTTAATTAAATTTTTAACGTAACTCAGTAACATGTGCAGAAAGAAGTTCGAAAAGTGAGTCATGCTTATAGGGTTAAACAATTTGAGATATTTTCACTTATTGGAGAGCTGCAAATACATGAGCATAAAAAGAAAGAGACATTTGTAATGTTAAAATTCTGCCAATTCCTATTATAAAATGAGAAATTCAACCAAATAAAAGGTTGACATATATAATTGTAACCTGTGACTTCACTCTTAACTTGATAGTTGAAATAAAGAATATGATTCAATAACTCAATCATACTGTTATAAAATGATGGCTGACAAAGCAATAAATATTTGAAATTGTTGCAACCTTACAATGCCACTAAATCACTGTTGCATTTTGTCCTAAATTTAACACTTTTGCTACAGACATCTTTTACTGCTCATGACACAAGGTTTTAGTGAGTTACATTAAAAACTTAATTAAACTACTTTCTTAACATGGTATATGAAAATACTAGGCATAAAAACAGCTAATAATCCAAATGATAACATAAGTTTTAAATTCCAAATTTTATAAGGTGATATTAAAACAATTTCCCCTAGTGTGAGAATTGTGACATTTGCTTTCTACGTATCCCCTCTTCTCTAGTTTATTTACCATCCTGCCAATGAGTATGAAATTTAATGCAAATTACCGTATTTTTCGGTGTATAAGACGCACATTTTTACCCCAAAATTTGATGTCAAAATCTGCTTG